ACCCGAAACGTCAGCCTTCCTGCTCCTCTGATGCTGCTTGGCCTGCTGTGTTCATCCAGCTCTACACCTTGTTAACACAGTGTGGAGCTGGAGGAACTCAGCAGGCCAGGCAACATCAGAGGAACAGAAAAGCTGACGTTTCAAGTCGGGAGCCTTCTTCAGAAATGATTTCTGAAGAAGGGCCCTGACCCGAAACGTCAGCTTTCCTGTTCCTCTGATGCTGCCTGGCCTGACAGAATAGAGACTTCTTTATCATGGTTCTCTACCTACACCAGACTAAAATTTTTGTCAGCATGATTCCATAATTGCTGAATGAGCTCCGCTTACCTATTGCACTTCCACACGAAACTGAGATCAATGTAACTGTGGAAACATCACTGATAGGAAGGTTAGTATGGCACAGCTAGATTTAGTTTAGTAATTGTAGTTGTGTTTTAGGTTGTCATGCTCAGCTAGGCCTCTGCTTACTGGTTTTTAATCAGGCTCATATTATCAACATTTTAATAGTTACATTAGATTAGGTTTGTCAGTGATGTTTAACAGTTGCAGTTGGCTAGATCCTTCAGTGATGCTTCTATCAACACACAGATTAGAAAATTATTTGTCCTTGAACCAATCTTAAACACCACTCCCACAATCAGAATGATTCAGTAGTAGGATGTGTGTTTTAAGTCCTCCCAAACCTGTTAACCTATGACTGAGAAGCAAGGGAACATAGTCAATATAGAAGTTAATAACTGGAGTCACGTGATTCAGCTTCTGAAACTGGATTCCTGTTGAAGGAGGATTCTGGCTGAAGGAGATCATGGGAGTGATTTCAGAAAATGATATCATACCCCAAACCAACATTTATTTTACAGAGGAATTTAATAGAGGTCACGTGCGGACAAAAATCGCAAACAAACCCAAGTTACACCAAATCAAAAATTACATTTAAAACCCTTAGAAAGTTATCGTTAGAGGTTTTGATACAGTAGCTGTCAAGAAATTGTTTCCAGTAGGAGGGGGTTCAGGAACCAGAGGCACATAAATCCAAGGTAATAGACAAAGGAATACACAGGAATTGACGAAATTCTTTTCATGCGGTAAGTTTTGATTTGTTAGAATTTGCTGCCTGAAAGGATGGTGGCAGCAAATTCCATAGGAATTTTCACAAGAGAGTTGGAATTGAAAACTTTAGAGGACTGTGGGAAATGTTTGAACTAATTAGAAGGACTCTTATAGAGTCAGCAAATGCATGATGGGCTGAATGCCCTCCATCTGTGCCATAAGATTGTACAAAGCTACAGCACCACAACAGATGTAGACACCAGTAACAAGGTGACCTTTCTATCAGGCTGATTCAAACCAGAACATTAAGCGTAAATGAGATGACAGCAATAACAGCACGCTTAATACCTGCACTGACTGCAAATTGCAAATACAGCATTGATCCAGAAGCCAACATGGGGCCCTTATTGTCTGCACGTTCACATACATTAGCAGTCACTCAGTTTCAACCACAGAGCCTTCAGAAAACCAGTTCACAGAATGTTTGCAGCCTTCTTTCAAATCTGGGAGTGTCTGACCTTTCTACTTTCACCAATACTCCACTATGTGAAAAGAAAACAAAACAAATAGAAATAAGAGAGCAATATGAAAACTTAGGTTGGAAAAGAGAGACAATGGACAACAGGAGAAATGAATGAATGGGTAAGAGACCTGCAATCAA